ATTCCTTCAGAAAACTAGCACCATAACCATGTTCTTCCCCCCCCCCATTATCTTTTTGCTGCACTTTTATCACTGAACACATCACATGAAATAAAACATCCCTTTGATCAGTTTGGGAGGGAGAAATCTTTGATACTGCGTAAGCACTGTTCAGCAACATCCAAAACATTTGTGTTGTGTTATCAAAACAGTTTTAGCCAAAAATGTAGAGTATGGCACCATAAAGGCTCCATCCCCACTAGTTCCAACAATGTAGCAATGATAGCATTGTTGCAAAGTCCTAGACTGTAGCAAGTGAAGATACGCTCAAATGTGGCAGCCATGGGAACAGAAATCAATAAAATAATCTGCTTAACCATGGAAGGCCTCAAGTAGGCAGGGATCCCCAGCAAGATGCCCTCATCTCGACTGCCAATCCTTAAATACAGTCTGGGAGGGGGTGGATCATGGCTCCACGCCTTCCGGTCACTCAGGTGCACTGTATGTACTTGAGATCCCCTGGGTTGACCCTGCCCTCCCACCAGGTGCTCAATCACTGCTTCAAGCCATGACTTAGCATTTGTGCTACATACAGTATGTCCATAAGTGATATCTGATTGTATAATCAATGAATATACAAATGTAATAATTACAAAATATACAAGAGAGTTTGTCTAAACAGGTTATTACACCAAAAAGAACAGATAGAGGGCTTACCCTTGTCCTGGGCTCACTAGAAAACTCCAAAAGGAGAGATCTCCAGAAAGAGATCCTTCCCTACTGGTAGTCAGCTCTTAAATGGGTCTAGGAGAGGTGGAGCCAGACTCCACCCATTCCAGCAGCACAGGTGAATTGTCTTCACCTGTGCTCCCATGGCTGATTCATTGCTTGCCTCAGGTGAGCTGATAGATTACATTTTTTCAGAGGATGCATATGCTTGCCCAAGAAACCAGAAAAAAAATATTTTTCCTAGTTGTCTCTGTCTTTTATGAAATACAGAAACCAAATTTATTTACCATTTATCTCCACTTATACATCCTAAGATAGATTTTCCTTAGTCACTAGTGCCATGTGACCATAAAACTTATTTTTCCCTGCTAAACATGAATATTTCAAATATTTCAGAAAGTGTGAAGTTTAATGTCAAAAACACCATTATTAATATTGGAGGGTAGTCAAACAAAATATCTGCACACTATGCACCTTGAAACCTTCATCACTCTGTGCTAAAAGAGCTTTATTAGGTAGGAAAAAAAGTTGATTTGTCCCTCTGAAAACATACTAGGTTGACAGCAGTGACACCAGTTGCATCTTCTCTGTCTAGCATCCAAATTTTCCACCACTCTACCAAAACATAGAATTCATGGTTAGGCAACAGTCTACAGAGCAATACTAATGAAGACCATAACACATTAGAAAGCCTATAGAAGTGAAACAGTACTTATTCCACTACCAGATGTTACACTGAAAAGTAGAACATACATTAGTGTATCTGTTCTCTCTGTAAATTCTGTAAATATTCTGTAAATATATGATCCTCATATTTACAAACTATTTCGTGTAGGAATTTAAGAAATTTTCAAACCACAGAAGTGAGTTCTCATATCCAAAAGTTTATATATCATGACAATTCTCTACTGATCTCAGAGTAACCTCTTAATCTTCAGGGATTTGTCTGAATCTTTCATTTGCTTTGCACAACCCTCACAAATGCCGACAAGTAAGTTGCATGCCTTGACACATCATTTCAGAAGCCATACAGAAGTTCGATCCATCTTGCAAGATTCTCACAAAACCTAATTTATGCTTATTAAGTAGTATAAAACCTAGTAGCCTGTGTTAACATAATTAGAAGCATGATGCTAAACATCTTTCTACATAGTCACTTTACAAAACTAATCATTGTTAAAAGAGCTATCGCCTGAATTTCCTTAAGAGTGCGCCTTATTCTCTTAGTACACTTTTTGCCCTTGGTTACTCTAATACTATTACAATCACTGGTTTTAAACAAAGCCATTCTGATTTTCTCTTTTTCCATTAGATTATTAGTTTAGTTTTTAATTGCTTTTATTTAGATGATCAGTGTTTTGTTGCTTTTAAAGCTTCATGATCCTTAATTTTATATTTTGTTTTTTTCTTACTGGAATCTCCACTACATTTGGACACTGTATCAATTTCAGAATCCTTTGCTACTTTCCCTGAGGCAAGATTATAACCTTTTCACCTGTCCTATCCCACACTAGCTTCCTCCAGAAACAGGAATTGATCTTCTCACTAACATTACAGATTCTTACTTCCAGTAGCAAAGTAGATTAAATTTCTTGTCAGATCTTCAATCTGAGTTTGGGAACACTTGCTTATGTATGGCACAAATAGGATCCTGACTCCATGCCTGAGAATGAACAGCTCATTCTGGAGAAGTCTCCACAGTGTAGCAATCTAGTCTTGGCTCAGTGCAATCCTCGATAATTCCCATTGTATGATTCCCAAATTAAACTGAAGTCAGATTTTTCTCACAGCTCTCCTTTATGTTATATTTAGTTGAGCTAGGCTAGTGCTGGTCTGCTTTGATCTATAGCAATATTGAAGAATTCACAGGAAAACACTATTTAGCCAGGTGTCCTTTTTGCAAAGGCTTCTTCTTTCCAGTGAGTCAGAGAAAACTGTGGAGTTGATACAGCACAGCTGATAATAAACCTGTGAGTAAATTAAAGGCTTTGTTTAGGCCCACTATTGCAAAAAAAATCTTAATTTCACATTCAGTCCCACTTCCGTCAATAAGAAGAATGCTCTTTAAAGGCTTTTGGGCTTTTTTGCTTAGTTAGAAACTTAAATAAAAGTGACTGAACAGCATGTCAGAGCAATGTTAATGCATGCTTCAGCTCCTGTTTGTATACAGATGACCAAATTCATAGCATTGCAGTTTCACTGCAACTTGTGAATAAGTTTGCTAGATTTGCCATTTTTTAAAATCACTTAAGACAATTCAAATAATTTTTTTTTTCCTTTTAGTTCTACATGCACTTTAAAACATGTGCAAGTCCTATAATATTTTTTTAATTCAGCCAGCTATTGGGCACAACCCAGTCTACAGCAACAGTCAATGTTTTATAACCAGATCACCCCACCCATCCCCAAAAATGGTTCACTCATACTCAATCACCAGCATAAAATAAGAATGCATGGAAACCTGCCTGAAAAATGCACTGTGATTTCCAAAGAAATTCAGTCATTAACATTTTATAGTTGAGAGATCCTGACAAGTTCAGAATAATGCTGTTGGGCAAACTCTGAGCAATCAAAACAGTATCATAATATATGGTGTAAAGGCTTAAAGTCAAACTTTGAAGATAAAGTGTTTTACATATTATCCATGGATAAGAGAATCAAATAAATAGCCTAATAAGAAACTAAGATTTATACTACAGATGTTTTGGTGCTTTCTGTACAAGACTCATTTCCTTTAGCTCTTTGCATGGCCAGTTATCAGAGGAAGTACTGAAATCAGGTGAGTAATAAGACACTACTACAAAGCAGTAATACATTAATGCAATATACTGCCTAAAGCTACCAGGATATTTACAAAATGACCAGAGATGCTGTGATCCAAACTAATTTTATTATAGATGACTTTTTCAATTCACTGGAAAAAAAGAACCCAACATACGAAGAATGAAATGATGTATTATTTGTTTCAAATGATGTATAGTGAATGTGACAGATGAAAGGTATATGCACAGTTCTAAAATAGAGCATGATTTTCAGTACTTTGTTTCATTTTAATATCAATGGCTTCCAAATGTGCCATATCTTGTCTACACATACTTCTAGAAAGAAATGCAGCCTCTGCTCCAAGTTAATTGTCATCAAATATTACCAACAAAAAAAAGTAGTGATGGAAAGAGAATCATTGATTGTCATAGGAAGATTACTTAGGCAAAGTAAGTTGTACAAACTGCGGGCTTTGAGGGATGCAGACAGGAAAATACTAATATTGCATCACAGAGCTAAAGTGAGCATTCCAGACACAGCCCTGACAGAAAAGCTATAGGGAGAGAAAGGAACAAAAAGTTTTATAGATAAGAACAAACACAGAATAAAAAGAAAACAAAAGCAAAGTAGGTAAGGAGATGACTCTCCAAGGCCTTAAAGGAATTATGTTTAAACAATAGATTAGAGAGAAACAGAATAGGGAGAATAAAACAGCCATTATCAATCTAACAGGCAAGATAGAAAATGTCATCCTTCATCATCAGAACAAGATTCATTGAAATGGAAAACCAAACATAAACACACTAAAAATCAAGGTTAAATATAAGAAGCCTCAAAATAAGAACCATCAAAAAGGAATGAGGATAGATCACATCCTTAGTTCAGTGAACATCTAAAAAAAAAATCTAAAATTCTAGATGAAATAAGTCTATCTTTTCAATACATAGTAGCACTGTTTATTCCAGTAACATAAGTGCACACATATATACTGACTTGGCTGGCTGCAAGTTTGATGCTTAAAATTCTGTGCAATAATGTCCTAGCTCTCAATAGCAAAGATAAGAATAAAGTGTAAAATCAAGAATCACAAGACTGACAACAGTTCAAGCAATCTAAACCATTTGATAATTTACAGTTTCAAATTATCAGGGAACATTCAATCTCTCCTTAGTAGTGTCATGTGCCACACTTCCAGATCACATTCTGAAATCAAGATTCTTCATTCTATTTTTTTTCTCTAAAAATATGTGTATGAAATACTCCTCTAGAGTACATAAAAACACAAAAACACTGATGTCATATCGGTAAAAAAAACAGGCAATAATTAACACTAACTTCAGCAAAAGATAACACTACCAATTAAATTGTCACATAACTTCTTATTTTCTCTACCATCTTCTCACTTCTTTTCATTCATTAGAAAAGTGAATACTGAAATGATGGGTAGCCTGAATCACACCGTTCTGAAGCGAAAGGACTGCTTTCAGGATTGGAAGAAGGGATGCAATGAAATCCACTTACAGCCTTACCTTCCAATTAGCAGGAACTCCCCAAGCACTCCCAGACGTCTCATGGCAATGAGGATCCCCCTCACCGTCATGCCCTCACAGAAGCAAACCACCACTCTAGCCTTGGGTAATCTTTCTCGCAGCTTGCGGAGCAGGCGATCAAAGCTCTTCTCCCCAGCATTGCTATAGATCTTGTCAGAATGAGCAATGCAGAGACCCTCTTGGGCAGCCAGCTCTTTGAAGGCCTCCATTCCGCTTTCCCCATAATTTCCTGTTTTAAAAGGAAAAAAAAAAAAAAAAAAAAAAACCAGTTGACATTATATAATGCATTTGACCAATTAAGAAAGAGAGGGTAGTATGGCGAGAAAGGAATAGTTTTCCTCAGAACTTAGCTAGTATCTGCAGAAAGAACGAAAGAGTCTCAAAGTAATCATATTCAGTGGAGCAATAAAATAACTGTATTTCTAGATCCTAACTGACCTGGGGGCTGCAGATTTTTTTCCTTACAATGATTTACCAGTGAGTATCAAAGGCAAACAAGGTAGAGAAGTAGAAAGAGGGGCAAAGACAGCTCAGACAGTAGTTTTATTAGTTCCAAGTTTTATTAACAGTTCTTCGGTAATTATCACAGTTGTTCTATTCTAGAAAGACAGTTAGAGAAAAAGAAGATTTCATTCTAAGCTGTTCTGTAACCCACACTGTCCCTGTTAGTAAAATTACGGAACGGATCATCATCTCACAGAACGGTTTAGATTGGAGGGGACTTTAGGGATCGTCCCGTTCCAACCCCTTGCCACGTGCAGGGCTGCCACCCACCAGATCAGGCTGCCCAGGGCCCCATCCAGCCTGGCCATGAATAACTCCAGGTTTGGGGCATCCACAGCCTCTCTGGGTTGTCTGTTCCTACGCTTCATCACCTTCTGACGAAAGAATTTCTTCATAACATCTAACCTAAATCTCCTTTCTTTTAGTTTCAGATCACTCCCCCTTGCCCTATCACTTTCAGACTGTGTAAAAAGTCAGTGCCTCTCTTGGTAAGCTCCCTACAGGTACTGGAAGGCCACAGTGAGGTCTTAATGAAGCCTTCTCTTCCCAAAACTAAAGCAGTCCAACACACTCCACTTTTCTTCTTAGGAGAGGTGCTCCAGCCCTTTGTTAATTTCTATGGCTCTCCTCTGGACCTGCTCCAACAGCTCCACATACTTCCCGTACTGAGGGTCCCAGGCTTGGACACAGGACTTCAGATGGGGCCTCACAAAGGCAGAGTAGAAAGGGACAATCATCTCCCTCTCTATACTGATCACCCCTCTTTTGATGCACAAAAGTGAATGAAAGATTAATGTTAACTTAAAATGTCCTAGTCTGATAGAATTTTAAAAGCCACGTGCAATAACCTGACCAAGCAGTGTTAAGGAGAGTCAAAATTTAGGTCTGATGTTTCTCTTGGAATAGACTTTATCTGCAAGACCTTCCAAAATTTCTCTTCCTAATAGAGAAATATTTGAACTTTATGGTTCAGACAATATCAAATCTGATTCTAAATTTTGTTTTGTATTCATACATTTTGGAAGCTCTATAGCAGCTCTGTAAAACTCAAATTGCCTTCAGCTGAGTGCAATCTTAGATTTTCTTTGAATATTTTATATATGCCACGAGCACAAGATTTGTGATGCCTATCAATCAAGCAAGAGGAACAGATGGATTACAATAAATTGTCTATTAAGAGTAACAAGAAATTATACAAAAAAAGAGAAGCATAAATTTTATGCTATCCAGATCCATAGTACATTTACTAAATTTCTTGAGAGAGTAACATCAGGTATGTAGAGTATTTCTAGACACAGCCCTTTTCAAACCTGGGGTAGCTGAAGAGATGCAACTCTCCTCTTTGTAGAGACATTTTCAAATGGCAAATTGGAATGAGGAAAACTCCTAAACCAGCCTAAATTCCTTAAACAAAAAAAAAAAAAAAAAAAAAAACAACAACTCAAAAGGCACAGCAACCAGGAAAAAAAAAAAAAAATAAAAAAAAAAAAAAAAATCAGCAAGAAACTGTTCAGGCATTCTTTTAAAAATCAAGAAAATAAGTGCATTTTTCCAGATATCTTCATCACTTGCAGCAAACAAGACAAACTGCAGTTTCATGTAGTCATACTCATGACGTAGAGCCAAACCTTCCACACTTGATGTCAAAAACCCCTCAAGTTCCACAGCCTTTTGCACTTAACTGTCCTAGTTTCTTACAAATTTGCAGCACAGCAATATGGCCTCTTTTCCAATCTGTTACTCAATGACAGATACAGCAAGCAAATCAGTCTGCTCTGCTGCCTGTCAACCAGACGTACTCTAGAACAGGAGCAAGGCCCTGGCTCTGCGTGAGTGTGCGGAAAGGACTGGAAGAGCCGTGCCCAGTGGGAATGTATCAAGCAGCCCCATACTGCCAGGCCCCACCCCATGATCTCACACTTGTGTTAATGCTTCATGTACGGTTTGCTGCTGCAGAAGCTCAGAGGAGAAGCTGTAAATTTGCATTTAAGTGTAATACATAGCTCACCGTCACTGAGGGATTTTCTCCTGGACCTGAGGCTGGACAATTTGAACCACAGCACTTTTAATACCCATCTTAGGTCACAATCTGCAGCAGGACAGCCTTGTTGCTGACTTGCCATAAGCAAGCACTCCATGGTTCAGAAAGAAATTGGAATATATTTTCCAGCTTCACATGGAACCTTATGCAACACGTAGACTCACTGAAAATCAATAGGATTCATCCTGAACTAACATCTTACCTCAAAGGAGCCCCTGGAGTGAGTTGTCTTAGATGTTTTGGAATTGCACATTAAAAATAAATATAGTATGCTTTCCACCTGAATTAATATCATCCTAAATATACGGTTAGGAAGGGAATTTTTCATATATTACAATCAACACAATCTGCTGTAACTGAAGTAAATTATTAAAAAAGAAATCTCCTTGCAATGCTTTTTCCCAGATTTAATATAGATGGAATTAAAATTACTTCAAACCTGCAGCCACACCTGTTTTAGAAGTAAAAAAGCCCACCAAAACTAAGCTAAGAGAAAGTTGGATTGTTGCCTATAAATTCAATAAAAGCAATTAAGAGCCTAGCAGGTATAAAAGCTAATTAAAATCAAGAACAACATTAACAGATCAAATAAGCAAAGAAAAAAAAAAAACAAAATTTGAGGCTGAAAATGAAAACTTTCTAACCCTTATATGAAGTAGTGAAGCAGCTTTCCAAAAGCAGTACAAGAAAAGAAATCTTATTTTAGAATGGAGGTGGGTAAGCTCACAAGAGCATTATATAACGTAGATGTCTGCAGCAGCCAGAGATGAGACATGATGACCCAGGAGGTCCCTTCAAAGCCTATTTCCTGCAATCCCAAAGCAAAACAGTACTCGGCATACCTTCTTCTCCCCCAGCAGAAAAGATTAGGAGAAAAACAGGCACATGACAGATAGGAGATACACTGATCAGTGCACTCAGCTACTGGAGTAAGCACTGTGTAAGGACATATATAAAATAGAAATCACTAATTCTGTGTGACAGCTAAGAACACATCCATCTGTACCATCTTGCTAGGTATATCCACATCAATCAACACATACAACAGCTGAGAGGGGAAACAGGTAATGAAAGTAATCTGCATAAAATGAAAGGCAGTGAAAAATTACAGCAGGATCAACAATTTCAGATGGACTCCGAGCTGCAAACCATTTTTGCTTTGAAGTAACAGTTGAAGATCCAAGCTCACTTGTAACAGCCTTTTTGTTACAAGCATAATAAAAACTTCGGTATTTCCTGGGTTATCTATTTATTACCTTGAGATCACAAAAAATTTTCATTTTGATCTTGTTGCAATTGGATAGATCAATGCGGTGGAAAAGGCATTGCAACGAAGGTGCGATGACAGAAGAACCAATACAATAAAAAGGTGCTTTAAAGGAAGGGAAGATTGCTCACTCATACCAGAAGATTCCAGGTTCACAGGGGAAAGCTTCACCAAGGAGCAATCTCCAGAGAGAAAGCCTTCCCCAGTAGCACTCAACTCTTAAATGAAGCCAAAAAGAGGTGCAGCCAGGCTCCCCCCCTTCCAGTCACACAACTGAATTATCTTCACCTGTGCTTCCAGGGCTGACCAGGTCCTTTCCCCAGGTGTTCAATCAGTGGTTCAGGCCCTGATTCAACAGTTCCCACACAGACCTGTACTCAAAAGCTAGTTGGGCCAGTAACATACTTCAAGCCTCACAGTAACTCACTAATTTTTAATAAATTTGTTGTTTTTATCCCTTTTAGCAACTAAATAAGCAGACAAACAAATCAAAGCTTTGCTCAACTTGTATCCTGTTCAGAAAATCAGACATTCACCCTTCGTGCTTTAGTGCTTTTATACAGCTCAGTAAATTTTCGTCCTATCACAGCTGCAGTTTTTCTAATAGTTTCTTTCATGGCACTGATCTCTCAGTGCCAAAGACAGCTTTGCTTCAGGACTCAAAGAATCCCACTTAAGGCCATTTCTGCTGAGGGAGCCCTGTATTTGAAGACACTGAAGAGGGATGCACACAATGGGAATTGTTCTAACTCACTGCATTCCATGCATTTGAATAACAGAAATATTGAAATGTTGCATTGGTAAAAAAATGAAGATGTCACCTTGATGAACAGAAGACATTTTCAAGCATATACTTAACACCAGACTTGTATAACACATGGAAACACAGTACCCCCAAACTACTTCAAAAATCTAGCCTCATAAATTGCTCCTTTGAGACAGTATTGTGTTTGTGTCACAGCTGACAAAGGAAGTTGAACTATTTGCTTTTATTAGCACTTCAGCAGTGTGGAGAGCAGAGCCCAGGAGCTCTGTCTAAAATGTTTATACTGTTCCTATTACAGTTGTTTGGTGATTTTAATTCCATCCTGTTTGTCAAGAGAACCATTTATGCCTCATTTATGAGATGGGGAGAAAACGTAGCCTCAGCAACTAGATGCTTATGAGAATTCTGGAAATCGTCTTTTTGAGGGATGAATACAGCAGCTGTACAGTTCTTCAGCCACATGACCAAGTGATGACTTTCCAGGGCATCCAGAGCATCCTGTATAATCCAATGGCTGATTTCATTGGAGGATAGGAATTATTTGTGGAGCAGCATAAGAATACACAAACTACTTGCATATGTGCTGCAGAAAGCATCCTGTTGAAACCCATAAGCTAGCACCTGATCTTAAAGAGAATATCTTAAAAGACC